CCCCAGCCCCCTGCAATGGGGGGGCCTGGATCACTTGGTGATTACCTGTTCTGTTCATTGCCTCTGGGGCACCTGGCACTGGCCACTGTCAGAAGACAGGATACTGGGCTAGATGGACCTTTGGTCTGACCCTGTATGGCCGTTCTTAAATGCCAAACTCTCGGGGGCTACAGACTCGCAAGTGTCCATAGAGCCCGTGATGAAGATGAATGGACGGTTCACACCTCTCCGAGCTATTGGTTCAGGCTCTCTGCAGATTAAGGCAGGCATTACCCCGTCGGTTCACAAGGGGGTTCATGTTGGCTAGGGTATCTCATAGCCATGAAGGCTAGAAGCATACTTTTAAAACACAACGGACCCTGGAGCAAAATTCTGCAGCAAGGAGGCAAACTCCGGAGCCAAGGCGCATGCTGTGTATTATCGGTTTGATGGATTTACCCCACCGAGCTGGACGCTTGTACTGGAGTTAAGCTGAAAGTCTGTACTTGAGCCAACGTCTCTCCGAGTTGCTACGATCAAAGGCTTTGCCGTCCTTTTGTAACTGCCTGGCAGTGCTGCTGTGTGACGAAGGGAGCTCTGGGCCCCTGAAGAGTGAACCGGACTGGTAGGCACAAATAACCTGCCGGTGCTGCCTAGATGGATGGCAGTGGGGATGGCAAACGGTGGCAGCAGCACGAAGCGACAGGCCAGCTGGCCGGAGGGAGACTCCACCTGATTGTTGCTCCATTGTCTTGGTCCTGGCAACCGTTGCCATGGAGGAAGAGCTGCTGCTGCTCGCATCGTGTACGTGTCTCCCACCTCCCTTGCCGAGCAAATGAGGAGCGGCGCTGGCATCCAAAGAGCCTGGCTGCCCCTTAGGTCCTGGCCAGGATGTTAAATTGCGACTCCCCTGGATAGAGCTCTGCTGCCTGGGGGTATGGGGAGGTGGAGGGGGCAGGGGGACCGGGCCGCGGTTATGCCGTATGTTAATGGGGGCCTCTGGCGTGGCTCTGAGCCATGGCTGCTGTGGGGGGAGATGGAGCAGAGGGCCTGCACAGCAGCGAGGGGTAGCTGGAGACATGAGGAGCGCGATGCAAAGTCCAGTGAAGGTAATGGAAAGGCTTCCACTGACTTCACCGTGTTGTGGCTTGGGCCTAGGCCTGCGGAGGCCAGAACTGGGCATGCTGCTTGTAGGCTGAGTGACTTGCTAGCATGCTTGGTGCCCCTGTCCCGCTGGTGCCCCCCATGACATCCCACTGAGCCACCCCTAGGACCTTCGCACTGTCCAGACCCGTGCCTCCCAGGTTGTGGGCGTAGCCTGCCAAATCACAGTGCCTGCATGGGAGAGGTGAGGAGGGACTCCCTGCACCCCCACCCTGCTCTAGGGCTCCCTGTACTGTGGGGCTTTCACCCAGACCAGGGGCAGTCTCCTGAGGGCACCCATGTCCCTGTACCGATAGGTCATTCACAAGGCGGCCTTGCTTGATGCCCTCGACACCACCTCCCTGCTTCCAAATGTCCTGAGCCATCCGTCTCGCTGGGCCGCCCTCCTTTCCCCCGTAGGCTTGTCTTGTAAGCAAGTCTGACATCTCCTCCTCGTTTAGTAATCCTGGCGCCGAGCCCTGTGGTTCCAGGCTCCACATGGTGGCTGGTCCCTTGGCCTGGACTTGGCTGAGAAGCTGATATCTGACCAGCGAGGGGGAAAGTGCTCCACTTAAGAAGGAAAAATCAGTTTCACACATACAGAATGGGAAGAGACTATCTAGGAAGGAGTACAGCAGAAAGGGATCTAGGGGTTATAGTGGACCACAAGCTAAATATGAGTCAACAGGGTGATGCTGTTGCAAAAAAAGCAAACGTGATTCTGGGATGTATTAACAGGTGTGTTGTGAGCAAGACATGAGAAGTCATTCTTCTGCTCTACTCTGCTCTGGTTAGGCCTCAGCTGGAGTATTGTGTCCAGTTCTGGGCACTGCATTTCAAGAAAGATGTGGGGAAATTGGAGAGGGTCCAGAGAAGAGCAACAAGAATGATTAAAGGTCTTGAGAACATGACCTATGAAGGAAGGCTGAAAGAATTGGGTTTGTTTAGTTTGGAAAAGAGAAGACTGAGAGGGGACATGATAGCAGTTTTCAGGTATCTAAAAGGGTGTCATAAGGAGGAGGGAGAAAACTTGTTCACCTTAGCCTCTAAGGATAGAACAAGAAGCAACGGGCTTAAACTGCAGGGAGGTTTAGGTTGGACATTAGGAAAAAGTTCCTAACTGTCAGGGTGGTTAAACACTGGAATAAATTGCCTAGGGAGGTTGTGGAATCTCCATCTCTGGAGTTATTTAAGAGTAGGTTAGATAAATGTCTATCAGGGATGGTCTAGACAGTATTTGGTCCTGCCATGCGGGCAGGGGACTGGACTCGATGACCTCTCGAGGTCCCTTCCAGTCCTAGAATCTATGAATCTATAAAACGGCAGCTGAAGGCACCTGCCAGTGTCTGGAGAGACTCTTGCTCTCCAGTGCAGTGGCCTGTGTAAGCGTAGACAGTGTGGCACACACACCTTCCCCCGGTCTATGGCCTGGCACTAACCGGGGCCTGGGAGTTGTCCTTTATCTCCCTCTCCCCAGCACTGTGCCCAGAGCTCACCAGATCCAGTCCACTTCTTTCATGTGCATCTGGTGGGTCCCTCTTTACCACCAAAGCCCGTGGTGGCTTTGGCACACAGGGTATTTAGTTTAGTTGTCGTGATGAGTGTCCGGTCACCAGATTTCAACTTTCAAGAGCTCCAGTAGAAGTCAGTCCTGCTGCTGGCCCTGAAGTCAGACAGGCTGTTATTGAGCACTGCTGACATTCATAGGACTATCCAGTTACCACAGCTCTGAACCCACCGATTCTGGGTCAGTGATCAGGTGCAGTTGTGGGATAGACTGTGCCATGGGGGACAGGGGTCCATATATGAGGAAAATATCTTGATAGGTTTCAAATATTGGAATTGGGAAAGGATCAGAAAAGGGCAACAAAATGATTAGGGGTATGGAACAGCTTCCATATGAGGAGAGATTAATAAGACTGGGACTTTTCAACTTGGAAAAGAGCCGACTAAGGGGGGATATGATAGAGGTCTATAAAATTATGACTGGTGTGGAGAAAGTGAATCAGGAAGTGTTATTTACTCCTTCTCATAACACACGAACTAGGGGTCACCGAATGAAATGAATAGGCAGCAGGTTTAAAACAAACAAAAGGAAGTATTTCTTCACACAGTGCAGGCAGCCTATGAAACTCGTTGCCAGAGGATGTTGTGTGAAGGCCAAGACTGTAACAGGGTTCCTGGAGGATAGGTCCATCAATGGCTATTAGCCAGGGTGGACAGGGAGGGTGTCCCTAGCCTCTGTTTGCCAGAAGCTGGGAATGGGCGACAGGGGATGGATCACTTGATGATGACCTGTTCTGTTCACTCCCTCCGGGGCACCTGGCATTGACCACTGGCGGAAGACAGGACACTGGGCTAGATGGACCTTTGGTCTGACCCAGTGTGGCCGTTCTTATGTTCAAATAGAAACAATCGGTTGTGCTGCTGCAGCCCTCACCTGTTAGGTGCGAGCTGGGAGTGTCAGTGCATTGGTGGTGACCATGACAGAGCTGTTCTCTTACCCTGGTACAACAAACAAAAGTAGAAATTTCTTTTAGCTGCTGCCTGCTCTGCCCTAAAGTCAGTGACCTACTTTGTGTCTCATTTGCAAATAATAGCCCAGGGCGAGTTTTGCATTTAAGCCGCGCTTGTTTCTGGACAGCAGTCACTCGAAAGAATTGGTTGCTTCTATCCTGCTTGCCATCTTTGTCCCAGTGGGACCCTGGAGACTGCACTTCGGATGAAGCTACCCTGGACCAATGCAATCTGATTCTGGAATAAATGTGACCCCACATGGCGTTATTCAGGAATCGCTATTGCCCTTTAATGTGCACCCTGCCTTAATCCGAATTCACTTGCACATGTAAACGAGGCCTAACAGAAATGTTTGTCCCAATCCCTCTCCCCCAGCTTGTGCCTAGCCCACAGGAGTGACTTCTGTTTCCCTCCCTTTCAAACTAGGACATGTTGGCAGGGGCTGGAGGAAGATCCCAGTGGTTCAGTAATTACTGAAATGTAGGCCTGGAAGGGACCTCAAGAGGTCATCTAGTCCAGCCCTCTGCATGAGTAAACCTACACCAGCCTTGCCATGTTTTTCTAACTTCTCCTTAAAAACCTCCAAAGAGCTAGGGGTTGCACAACCTCCCTTGGAAGCTTATTCCAGTCCTTACCTATTCTTCTAGTTGGGGGCTTTTCCTAATATCTAACCTAAATCTCTCTTTGCTGCAAATTAAGCCAATTTGCTTCTTGTCCTACCTTCAGTGGACATGGGGAACAGTTGATCACCATCCTCTCGGTATAACCACCTTTCACACATTTTGGAGACTGTTCATGACTATGTCCAGTCTTCCCATAGCACTCCTTACCTGTAGATCTTTGTGTTGGTACAGAGGTGCGTCAGGATGACTCCCCCACTTCGTGGATGGAGGTGTGTGGGGTGTGTGTGCGGAGAATGAAGACGACAGAGCAGAAGTGACTCTGAGAGGGGTCATAGTGGGGCAGGACTGGGATTAGAACCCAGGAATTTGTTGCCAACCGCGAGCATTCCAAAAACCATGAGCTGGAGCCACGCAAACTCATGAGACTTAGAATCCAGCACTCATGAGTTTTTTCCCACCAGGTCTCTTTATTCTTGAGACCTGGTAAGGGTCAGGCTTTCAAGCCTCTTCTCTGCCACAACAAGGGCTAGACCCTTTACTTAACTTTTTTTTTTAATTAAAGCTGAGAGTCTCCTGGAATCCCATGACTCCCAGAGTTGGGGCTTGAAGAAAAACACCAAATATTGTGAGACTCGGGATAAAAACAACGTGGTGGCAGCATCTCCCCCCTCCCAGAATGCCGAGGCTGGGGATGCCAGCTCTTAGACTAATTGTTTTGTTTCTCCGTCCCCCCCCCAGGCCAGAAGATTCAGTGTCTGAGATCCCGCTGCTCCCACGCGACGTCCTGCACGTGCTGAGCCAACAGCTGGCGCACTGCGTGGCCCAGATTGCCCGCGAGGAGGCGGCCGAGGCGGGCCTTGGCCAGGCGCTCCTGCACGTCAAGTTCTTTATCATCATCTGCAGGTAGGCTGGAGAGTTGAATCATTGCTCTGGTGGAGTCTGTGAGAATGTAGCACCTTCCCGCTTGCAGGCTTCAGAGGACCGGATCCTGCTTCCCAAGCCCTCCAGAGGCAGGAATGCAGGGCTGGGCCCCAGGATTTTGTATGTACATGCCCCAGCAACCCGTGTAGTAAGTGGTGGTTCTTGTTTTCTGACCTCTGAGGCACAGAGCGGCTGAGTGGCGGGTCCAGGGGTCAGACTGGGAGGCAGGGGTAGAGCTGGGAACAGAACCCAGGGCTCCTGGCATGCAGGGCTGTGCTTTAGCCACAATAACCACCCTCCCGTTTGGTTATCTGTAGTGGAAAACGAAATGGAGTTATCCATCCTCCTGACCCCTGCCTTAGCCAGGCCTCGGGCCCAAGGAGGGCTCCCAATCTTAGCTAGCCAGCAAGGAAACCTGAGCCCAGGACCTTGGAGTCAGAGCATGGCGTAGGGTAGAACCATCAGGGAACGGGGTCACACAGCGAGTGCGTACAAGCATTCGGTGCCAAGGCCGGAGAGGCAGAGGGGGAGCTGTTAGGCCGACCTGAGGATGTGTGGGGTTTTCAGTGGGGCTGGGGAATTGGAGAGGCAGAGGTGGCAGAGTGGCGGGGGGAAGAAGGCGCTCTCACTAATACCTACATCATTGGGGGCAGAGGGGAAGCAGAGAGACATAGTCTGATGATGAAATAAACGTGTTCGCTCCCTGTCTTCCACACTGTGACCGGGGTCCTAATGGGGAGCCAGCTGTGGTCAGTCAGTTAAGGTGAACGTCGAAGAATGGGGCAGCCAAAGCTGGTGGATATTCCAATACTTAGGATGTTTAACCCTTTCTAGCCATGCGTCACACCCCCAACATGAGTCTTGTGTGGAAGGGCGAAATTAGAGCTCCTGGATACACCTTAAGGACCTTCCAACATTGATAAGAGCTGTGTTTACACTGAATTCTTTGTAAGGCCAAATTTAATGATGCCTGATTTGGGCCTCAGCCAAAAACTTAGCCCATACTTTGTGCAACACTTTAGTGAGTCCAGGGTTTGGTCTATGTGTTAACAGAGCCATTCATGTTTTTTAAAGAGCACTTACTCTGGCATTCAGCCACGAAGGCTGTGAGGTGTTGTACCTCAGTTTCCCTTTGTGCACAGCAGTTCAAGCTTGTAGTGGTTTTTCTGCTATGTACAGTTTCATGATTGGATACAGGCACTAACTGTGAAATATCAGTAACACCAGGCCGTTTAATATAGTGTGTGTTGTCATGTAATGAAACAGTAGAACCATGAAGGCTTTTACAGCATAATGAGTTCTTACATATCACCCCCAACATGTTCAAGGGTTTTTCCCAAAAACCCTGCACATTGTACATTTTTACAGTTCTTGGTATCGGCAACAAGTTAGTTACAATCATTAGCAATAACGTCAGTTTTATCACGTGTACATTTAGAATTATTTTTGTCATGCCAAATCTTTGGTTTAGACAAATCATTCTTTAGGTCAGCTTGTTCAATATCCCTTTTGAATCTTTGTAGCTTTTTCTTGACCTCATAGGCTTTCAGTTTAATCACTTCCTTGGGGTTTTGGTATTTTAGGGTTAACAGGTGGCTTTTATTTGCAAGGTTTAATCCTTCCCTTCCTCCCTGTCCAGTAGGGTCAAAGGGCATGGCTACACTTGCAGATGTAGAGCGCTTTGAGTTAAACCAGCCTTCGTAGAGCGCAGTAGGGAAAGCGCTGTAGTCTGTCCACACTGACAGCTGACAGCGCACTGGCATGGCCACATTAGCAGCTCTTGCAACAGCCACAGAGAGCAGTGCATTGTGGTAGCTATCCCAGCATGCAAGTAGTTGCAACGTGCTTTTCAAATGGGAGGAGGTGGGGTGGAGTGTGACAGGGAGTGTGTTGTGTGTGTATATGGGGGGAGAGAGAGTGGGTTTTTGGGGGGCTGAGAGCATGTCAGCATGCTGTCTTGTAAGTTCAGACAGTAGCAGACCCCCACCTCCCCCCGCGCCTCTCTCTCGCTCTCACACAGCATTCCACAGTAATGGTTGCTTTGTCTCAGAGCAGATAAGCAGCCGGCTGTCAAACGGAGCTTTCAAAGGGCATATCCAAAACAATGACAAGAGTGGCCACTTGACTTAAGGGGATTATGGGACGTTTCCGGAGGCTGATCAGAGCGCAGTAATGCAACACCTCGTTCACACTGAAGCTGGGGCGCTCCAGCGGGGGCGCAGCGAACGTTATTCCTCTCGCCGAGGTGGAGTACCAGCAGCGCTGTAGCCGCAGAATCAGAGCGCTCTACGGGCCTTGCCAGTGTGGACGGGGAGTGAGCTAGTGCGCCCGGGCTCCTTTATTGTGCTGTAACTCGCAAGCGTAGCCAAGCTCTAAATCTGAACTCCCTTGTGTAACAGAATCCATTGGCTGGCTGGGTGCGTCCTCTTTGCTAATGGCAATGGGCAAGTCTTTCTCCCCGCAGCCAGTCAGGTAATTTGCATCAACACAGACACTAGCTTGTTTACTGGTTTTCAGATCCTCACACTTTACCAATTCCAAGGCTGGACTCTTGTCGTAAAGAGATTCCATCCATTTTCACTCACAAGTCTCCCAAACAAACTGTTGCTTTCTCTATACAGTGATTCACCCTGAGTTAACTCAATCAAATCACTTCCACACCCATCCGTTGCAGCAAACTGCTTGCAAAAACTACCCTGAAGATTTTTCTCTTCAGGAATCTTTCTAAGCAACAACCCATTTTTCACAGAAATTCTTCCCTTACTCTTTTCACCTAGGGTTTGCTCTAAAGGAACATTTTCCTGAGCAACAACAGACGCTTCCTGGGTTTCACTTAAATCCAGAATCACCTCTGTCCCATCAGGAGGATTTTCACAAAACCCCCTTTCAGGTAAACTGCTAGACTTCACAGTCACAAGATTAGAAGCATTCTCTTCCTTGTTACAAGTTTCCACACTGTCAGTGGGTAACATAGTTAAATCACCTTCATGCTTTCCTTGTGCCCTGGCTATATCCTCACCCCGATCAGACAAGGTTATCATATCTTTACCCAGCAACACACTAGCAATAGGCAAAATAGAAGCACCAGAATCGCTTGGTCTCTGGGAGCTATTTATGACATTGACTGGATGCAACCTAGTTACAATGTCATCATCCCTAGCAGACACAAACTTAGGACCACTTCCTTCCTGGGCTTTAGTTGTATCCAGAATCAACTCTGGGTCAACTGATAAATTTTCAGCCCTCATAGGCTGACAGGCTTTTTCTGTCTGCTTTATAGACAGAAAAGAGCTGGAGAAACATTCCCCTTTAACAGACAAACAGCCTGGGATATCCTTTCCTTTGTCCCAGCACACACAGCTATTCACAGACAACTGCTTGGAGATTGGGGTAGCTCCCTTCATGGGCAAGCCATTACCCCTAACAGTCACAGGAACATTTCCTTCACTATGACAATTCTCCACACTGGTAACAGGTAAGGTATAGGGATACTCATGTTCCACTAACCTGGCCTTCCCAAACTGATCATTAGACAAAGCCATCAGCTCAGAAGGCTGCCTCTGCTCATCTAAATTCTCTTTGCCGTCCCCTCTATTAACAGATAAGCTGCTGTTTCCCACAAATAGTGTCTTGTTACTCTGAGCTACTTTAAGCACATCACTTTTACCTGGGCCAGGCTGACTTTCCCAAGCTTTACTTGCCAACAATCCATCACTTACCAAGACTGTCCCCCTTCCTTCCTCCGTTACGGCTTTAACCTGATCACCAACTTTAGTTTGCTCTAAAGAAACATTTTCCTGAGCCTTATCTGATGCCAGATTCATTCTGAGATACCAGACAGACACTCAGAATTTTTTTCCACATATGCACTGCTTCTTTGCACAGACAAACAGCTATCTTCCTCAGACAAACATTTGGAGAAACCCTCCATGGGCCAATTCTTGCTCCTAATAGACACAGATTCAGGATTATTTCTTTCCTGTGACTGGTTTATGTCAACCTGACTGAACAAAGCTTTAATATCATCCCTAACCAAAAGATCCTTAGGCAATAACTTTCTTACACCAGCTATAACTTCGTGTTAAGATGGATTCTGGCTAAAGGCACACGTACAGTAAACTCATAGAGGATTACAATTTTCACACTCTGAGTTGGTAAATAATCTTCCTCTTTGACAAGATCTTCTTTAACAAGAGTGATGTTAGAAGCTGTAATTTGCCCTAAACAGCTTTTACCATTGACTTTTATGTTTTCTGCACAAATTATGGGGTTACTTTCATCTGAGCTCCCAGTAAAAGCATTTACATACAAGGTGGCAGTGTTGGGGTAAATTTGGTTACACACAGACAACTGCTTAGAGAGTCAAACAACATACCAACATTGGTACAAACTTATCCATATCTTTGCTGTTGAGAGGAGCTGGCTTTTCTGGATGATACAGTTCCTGTTGTTCCTTTATTCTCTTGAGTTGAAGCTTAAGTCTGTCCACTTCTGCCTTAGCTTCTAGTTCCTGCAAATGAATATATGCCATTCTTTGTTCATGTTCAAAACACAGGTGTTCTCCTTCAGCAGCTTCTCCTTCCATATCAGCTATTTTTTGCTTTTGTTTGGGTTCTAACTGCTGGTTTCTCACTGCAAGCATTTTTGCTGGCTCTGTTTCCTTATCCCTGGCAATTAACAGCTTTTTCAGTTCCTGCTCTGGGGCCCTTTGCTTAAAATACAACCGTCTCTGTGAGCACAATTCTTCCAGGGTTTTCTGTCAGGATCTTGATCATGGGTCACTCACTGTAACTGATTTTTACCCCTTAAACTCTCCAATATCAAAATTAAATTTTGACAAGCGTGTGGTTCTGATCCAAAAATCCAATTAACCTGTGGTAATGTGCATCCAAGCATGACTACGCCACTGTGACCGGGGTCCCAGTGGGGGCCAGCTATGGTCACTCAATTAGGGTGAACTGCAAAGAATGGGGCAGCCAAAC